TTTCTACATAGTATCTCTAAAATGAAGACTGGGGGAGAGGGGACCATTCATTTCATTGGTGGTCATCATGTAATAATAACAATAACAACAGCAACAACAACGTTATTTGTATCCCACCTATCTCCCCAGGGGGACTCAGGGCGGTTTCCAACAAACAAAGGCAAACCTTCAATGCCAATACCTTACCTTACGTCTTTTCCACTATAAGACTTCCAAAAATTTGAAAACTCGCCATGATATCCCTTTAAATCTACTTTTCTTACAACTCCAGAGCCAGTTGGTCTGTGCTATGGGTTCACAGTCAGGCACAAATCTTGACTATTCAAATTAATACATTGATAACATGCTCCACCATTTTGGTAACTAAATGGAAAGGAGCTGGTGCAGGAAGAAAAATTGGGTGAGGTCTGAATACATTTTTTTTAATTATCACATGGATAAGAGAGGTAGATACAGATTATTATCACCTAAGCAAATTACTTCGTGATTATTAATAATTTTGAAAAACGGAAGAATTATTGTCTACTAGTGAAAAAAATCTTCCTTAACTAATTCAACGATAAGTGACCTATACCAAATGGAAACATCATAAAATATGTGTCATGATGTTTAGTATTTAGTTTTCAAATATTGTTTTATACTGAATTTGTAAAATAAGCCAAAAGGAAGAGCTAATTTTTCACTTTTTTTAAAGTGTTTGAACATTTTGGTTTTATCCGTGTCTTTTATTTGTCTCTCAAATCCACTAGATGGTGCACTATAACCTTCTCTATAGGACATGTTCAAAGATGCCATAAATGACATTGCTGAAAACTACCATGTAGTCAGCATACATTTAGATTGCAAGGAAAAGAATAATCTGGGACAACCTCTACTTCTAATTAAATCAGACAATTAAGAAGGGAAATTGAAGATCGTATCAATTCTTCAACATCATTTGGCTCTTTATCATACAGTTTATTCAATTATAATATTTTTCTAGACTTTTGAGAGGAGAATTCTAATGTTCCATTAGCTTATACTATAAAATATTTTATACTAAATTTAGATCCTTATTCCTCATCTTTATGCTTCCCTGTTTGGGTCTCTCCAGTACTAACAATATATGAAAGCTTGTTGTTGTTGTTTATTTGTTCAGTCGTTTCCGACTGTTTGTGACCTCATGGACGAACCCATGCCAGAGCTCCCTGTCAGCCGTCACCACTGCCAGCTCCTTCAACGTCAAGCCAGCCACTTCAAGGATAACATCTATCCACCTTGTCCTTGGTCAGAGTGTCCTTCCATTTTCCTCAGCATCATTATCTTCTCCAAGCTTTCCTGTCTTCTCATTATTTGGCCAAAATACTTCATCTTTGCCTTTAAATATCCTTCCCTCCAGTTTTCTGTAGTATGGACTAGTTTGATCTTCTTGCAATCCAAGGCACTCTCAGAATTTTCCTCCAACACCACAGTTCAAAAGCATCTATCTTCCTTCACTTAGCCTTCCTTATGGTCCAGCTCTCACATCATTAGGTTACTATGTAGAATACCTATGAAAGCTTATAAGGTAAAAGTAAAGTCCAGTCATGTCTGACTCTGGTGTGTGGTGCTCATCTCCATTTCTAAGCCGAAAAGCTGGCATTGTCCATAGACACTTCCAAAGTCATGTGGCCGGCATGATTGCATGGAACACCGTTACCTTCCCGCCGGAGTGGTACCTATTGATCTTCTCACATTTGCATGTTTTCGAACTGCTAGGATGGCAGAAGCTAGGGCTGACAGTGGAAGCTCACGCCGCTCCCTGGAATCAAACCTGCAACCTTTCGGTCAACAAGCTCAGCAACTCAGTGCTTTAACCCACTGCACCACCGGGGGCTCTCATGAAAGCTTATACCATGATGTATTCCTTAGTCCACAAGGTACAGAGTGAAGGCAAAAATGCTCTACCTTCTAGGCTTTCTGAATAGGCATGGATTAGCCAAAGCACTAGTCTATATCTGTAGAATCATCAATTCAATCCCATGTCTGATTAGGATCAGAACTTCAAAAGGGACTGGCTTGATCAGGATTAGGATTCCGAGAGTGTCCATATTTGCAAGAAAATTGTGGAAGTTGTAGTCCCACAAAAATAAAGTTTCTAGGCTCTGATCAACATACTATCAGATGTTTAAAGCTCTAGAATATATACCAATTATGCCTGCTATCATACTTCTAACTTTAAAAAATATCTTGGAGGCAGGATTTGTGTTTCTTTCAAATATGTACATTGCTCAGAATACTGAAATATCAATGAACTTCAATGGATATTAATATCTGTTTGGTTTGCGCACAGCGGGAATACAAAAGACAAAGGCAGGAAGCAGAAAAAAAGCTCAAAAGTAATAGGCAAGTAAAGATGACAGGACTTGCTGAGAAAACTAAGAAAAGAAGGACTTTTTGGCAATATTAATAATTCTATTAATTATCTACATGGCAGGTTGTTCAGAAAGCTTTTCAAATGCTAATGAGACTGTCATAGCAATCTCTCATTTAAACATTGAAATGTTCATGCTATACCAACGAAAGAAAGCATTACTGAAATATCAGCTTGCGCTTTAGGTGTGCATCCAAGTGCCAGGTTGAGTTAATCCTCTGCCTCTCCAAAGCATAACCTGATGAATTTATGGCCAACACCTGGAGTACATCACACCCATTTAGGCAAGATGTTTAAAACGTTATAAGAATGGAGTGTATCATACATTTATGTTACAAAGAAATGAGCCATAGGCAGCAATCACCAGACTGAATTTTGCCAGCAAATCAGCTTAAAAGTCAAATACATTTCCACCCATTCACATGTAATCCACTCCAGGTGTTAAACTGATTTCTTGTATTTATTTGTGCGACTTTAGTTTTACAAACATTTACAAATATTATAACAAGGAAGGATATAGTGAAAATCATTTGCAGGTCTTAAAATTCAGTTTCCTTAAGGTTAGGCTAAATAACTAACAAGTAAATATATCCATTAGGCTATCCAATAAAACATAGACCTGACAACAAAAGATCTGATCCTTGAAAGCTGAGTTCTATCATTATTGTACAGATCTGTTTACAAGCTAAAGCAAATATTTGTATGCTGACTTACTGTCTAGAGCAGGGGTGGAGAACCTTTTTTCTGCTAAGGGCCGTTTGAATATGTATGACAACATTTCCAGGCCAGATCTCTATCTATCTAATTAAAACTAAATAATTATAAAATTATATATTTTATAGTCCTAAATCATAAAATTATATATAAACATCAAATGAAACTTCCAAAGGTCACACAGCACAGGTAAGCTGCCTCTGTGTGCACACGTTTACCAGCTTTGACTCAGCTGGCAAAAACAAGAGTGAAAGGAGGATAATGGATCTGCATGAGAAGAGGGACTCAGAAAAGGTCCAATTCTGAATAGTAAGTGACACTTGGGCCACAAAAGAGTTAGTGTGTTGGGTTGGAGGAGCAACAGGAGCCAGATTAATTGGGCGGCATGGGGCAGGTTTCCATCCTTCCTATGGGTAGAAACAACTCTAACTATAGTGTAAATGCCTGAGAGGCACCTATTATCCACTGGGACAGAGAAGGAGAGGCAGCAAGGAAGGAAAGGCCTAGTTTGGAAATAGCAGCCTGCTTACCACCTCTTGCAGTGGTGCCAATTCTACAGATCACCTTCATCCCTGTGCCAACCCTGATACCACAGCAAACCAGGCAAAACAATTCACACAAATTATAGGCATGGGTTCTGTAGAGTGATGCAGAACTCCTGCTGATCCAGCCTTGAAAGAAGTAGAAAGGGGGTCAGAGGAGGGCAGCCAGAGCTCATAAAACTCTGGCTCCTGTTTCCCCAGGTGACCTGCCTCAGCAGGCAGTTTGACACTGTCTCTATTCAGGGTGGCCATCAAAAGTGCTACCTCACCTTCAGCAGCCACAGGTCTACCTGCCTTGGGTGCAAAGTATTTTGTTTTGATTGCTGTTCTAATCTTGCATCTTGGACAGGAACATATCCAACATCTGAATAATCAATTCTCAAGGTCTTTTCTGTGGGCTGAAATTTCCTTAAACTGAGATTCATTTTGTGCAAGGATGATTAAAGACAGTAGATCCAAGTCACTACTTGGTCAATATTGAGTAGGAGACCAAAGAGCGGACCAAATTATCTTGGGTGCCGTGTATGGGCCTCCAGGCCAGACATTCTCCACCCCTGGTCTAGAGGTTTCTTCCAAAGTGGAGAGAAGATCTTCTCTGGTTACTATTGCTTATATCCTTACACAATTCCTACTGTAATGAATCAGTATAGTATGTAGCAGAGTTTAGTATATAATAAGAGAATAAAGACCTTTCCTAACCCAGATGTGATTTAAAAAATAACTCAAGAGTCAACTGGCAAGTAGCACTGTTCACTGAGAAACATAGGAATCTTCACCAAGGACATACAGAGGAGACCAGATGATGTAGGCCAATGTAGACAATATAGCACATTGTATATTATAAATTTCTGCAAACCTAGCAGTTTGAAAACATGCAAATGTGAGTAGATCAATATGTACCACTTCGTTAACGGCGCTCCATGCAGTCATGCCTGCCACATGACCTTGAAGGTGACTACGGACAACACCGGGTCTTCGGCTTAGAAGTGGAGATGAGCACCACCTCCAAGAGTTAGACATAACTACACTTAATGTCAAGGGGAAACCTTTACCTTTATATTATAAATATACACAAAAATCTACATAAAATCTGTGGAAGACCGTATTTCTTAGTCACACAAGAGCCTAACTGGCCATGCAAAACAACCAGTCCATATGCAGCTATTCGTCAGACTAAAAACAGTTTTCCCTACTGAAAGAAAATACTCTTAAAATCAAAACCCAACAACAGGTGGTTGAGGTAATAAAATTAAACATGAATATTTATTTATTTATTTCATATTTAATATCATACACATAATGTTGTTAGGCCACTAAATACTGGTAATGATATTTAACAAACACATACTGACCTTATGAAGAGCTGGGGCCATAACAGGTACCAGAAACCCATTATAAATGTAGTTCACAAGCTGGTTACGAATCAGAGAATGGGACACCTAAAAGAAGAGAGAAAGAGTGTTGAAAGTTTATCTGGGCTGGAACATCATATTACTTTATGGTGAGTATATTTGAAGACATTTACATTGGATTAAAAATCATTATTTACTTCCAATAAGTCCTCCTTCTGTTGGAAATTACAACATTCTTCAAGCCTCCTCTAGTTATTTATCTTTAATCCCCTTGGTTACTTATTGTATGTATGTTCTGATATGCAGCTTTCTTTCCTTGCTCTATGTTTTTTTTTTTGAGAAGTTGTGTCAGGGGCTGCAGACCACAAGATCTGCTTTGAGACTCACACAGAGCACAGATTTCTTTAGACTTTGGGACTACTCAGATCGCAGACTTGCAAACCTGTTCATCATAAAAGAGATGTTCTGACCAGATGACACAGAAACTATCTCAAACATATCTGTAACTGACTGATAAGTTGGGTACCTGTGTATGCCGAACACATGAAAGTTGTGAGTAAACCAAATATGTTATATTTACCAAAGCCTATTTCATTTTTGTCTCTTGAGTGCATAATATAAAACAAGTTGTTTTATGGGACAGTAGATATATATATTTTGGGCACTGAAAAGCACTTCTGAAAAACGTCTATTTTTATGTATTGGCATATTCTCTGTTTCCTAACAGATCATAGACAACAGTAATCCATGACCAATGTGATGAATCATTGGTAGTATGGGCCCACACTTTGATTATTTGTTATGACAGATAGCCGGACGGCAGGTTCCACTGCATTTTAGGAATTTTATAATTTTCAAATTTCTATAATTTTATTAATGAGATTTTTATGCACTATTGATTATGTCATTGTATTTATACTTATGTAATGTTGTCTGCATGTGGCACTTGGAGTGCTTCTGTGAACTGCCCTGAGTCCTTTTGGGGAGATGCTGGTGAGGTACAAATAAAGATGATGATGATGATGATGATGATGATGATGATGATGATGATGATGATGATTATTATTATTATTAATAGGCTGTTCAGTCAAGCAACTGAAGCCAATTGCTTTGCATAATTACATTTGGTTGTTTACCCCTTGAGAAGATTCTATTCAAACTGGTTTTTGGTTCTGCTCTAAAAGGTTATGATCTCTAAAAGGTCATGCTTTCCAAAACCTTCCATATTCAAATACCTTATACGATCAACATTTTGAACTCTGGTTTTCCTTCTATGCAAACTTATTTGAGGTCTGGCCCAAAGTAATGTCTCCCCATGACAAATCAGAAATCCTTTTCACTGCTATCACCCCCTCCACCCAAGCAGGCTAAACAGATATGCATTTATTGAGAGACATGAATGCAAAAATAGTAAGTTTTTATATAGTATATTACTCATGCAAACTTTTCCATTCTTTGCCTTTTAGCTTCATTAATGAGACAGAGCAAACCTGCATGAATCAAATAAAGCTACAGATACTGTAAAGTCCTAACGCTATAAGAATCCTAAGTGCACCATCAAAGAGATACAACATCTGATTTTATCATTAAACTGGAGAAGAACAACAAGGAATCAAAAGAGAGAAAATCTAATTAAGAAATAATAAGAACAAAGAACATGAGAAGACCAAACAGAATTTAAATTGAGTTCTTGAAATATACTGATCAACTCAAACACAAAGAACATTGCTCACATATATTAGAGTATGGGTTTTCTTTGCCAAGAAAAAAAACCCCTGGTTGTAAAGTAGTATACAAATTTACGCTCAGTTTGGGTTCCTGGAAAAATATTTATGACTTTAGATATTAACAAATGTTACTCAGCCAAGCATTATTAGGAAATAGACGTGTTTGTACAAATAAACCTGCATCTCATTCATTAGACGTTTGTTATCTAAATCCTAATCCTGTTGATATTTGTCTATTTAAGAAATTTGCAAAATAATTAATCTAGACTTGATAATGATCTGCACTCGACTTCTACATAAGCAGAGGAACATCATCCAGGTTTAAATATTAATTTCTAATAACATTTATTTGGTCATGTACCTGTATTACTGCATTGCAGAACTCAAGAGAGTTCATAAACTGGACAAGGGCTGGAGAAAGAAGCCAATCATCTTTCAGCAAACAGTTCCATTCTTCTCCTTTACCTTCCAGCTTTGTAGGCAAAGATGAATATAGGCCACTTAGGCCTGTTGCTAGCACCTGCAAAAAATGTTGTGGGGAAAACACCAAGGACACAACTAATTAAACCAAATAACTGCATTACTGCTAAGCACTGCCTTAAGCTAATACCATTGATTTAGTTACGAAGGGCGTTCATTAAAGATTTCCCCTGACCCACTTCTATTTATCACAGGATGCTGAAACTGCATATGTGTAATGATATAAGTCTTTATACGTTATGTGCCAATTTACAACTCAGAACTGATAACAGTCTTGATTTTACAGGTGCTGAAGTGTAGTGAGGTTTGATAATAGAATATAGAGCAGTCTTCAAGTTCCTTTACTTGAAAGGCCATACACCAAAGGAGATGTTCAAGGAGATAAAAGAGGTTGTGCTGATGATTCCACATTATATGATGCAGTCAAAAACTGGCACGGTCAATTCAAATATGGTTGGACTTTGGTGCTAACAGCTCCAATTCCAGAGCGACCCCACTCTGCTATTGATGAACACACCATCTAGCAAGTGGAGATTGCCATTTTGGAAAATCGCTGCGTAACCATTTGCCATCTAGCTCAAAATGTCAAGATTAGTGTGGGGTCCGTGGAAAAAAAATCATTCAAGAGCATTTTCACATGCATAAGGTATCCACTCGCTGGGTCCTCCGGCTGCTCACAGCTTTCCAGAAGCAGGAACAAGCTGAATGCTCTCAAGCCCTATTGACAATGTGGCATGGAAACCAGGAGGACTTTTTCAACAGATGGATCACACAGGATGAAAGCTGGGCCCATCACAATAATCCTGAGACTAAAGTCCAGCCAGAAAATCAGAAGACGTTTACTTCTTGGAAGGAGAGCAATGACCAATCTCGATAAAATAGTGAAGAGTAGAGACATCACACTGACAACGAAGATTCACATAAGTCAAAGCAATGATATTCCCCACAGTAACATATGGATGTGAGAGCTGGAACATAAGGAAGGCTGAGTGAAGGAAGAGAGACGCTTTTGAATTGTGGTGCTAGAGGAAAATTCTGAGAGTGCCTTGGACCGCGAGAAGATCCAACCAGTCCATACTCCAGTAATTAAAGCCCGACTGCTCATTGGAGGGAAGGATATTAGAGGCAAAGATGAAGTACTTTGGCCACATCATGTGAAGACAGGAAAGCTTAGAGAAGACAATGATGCTTGGGAAAATGGAAGGAAAAAGGAAGAGTGGCCGACCAAAGGCAAGATGAATGGATGGTATCCTTGAAGTGATTGGCTTGACTCTGAAAGAGCTGGGGGCTGCGACGGCTGACAGGGAGTTCTGGCGTGGGTTGGTCCATGAGGTCACAAAAAGTCGGAAGCGACTGAACAAATAAACAACAACAAAGTCCAGTCAACGCAATGGAAGCATCATGACTCACCGCTTCCAAAAAAGATACGTGCTCAACTCTCTGCAGACAAGGTCATGCTCACAATATTTTGGGACCAGCACGGGAATACTATGCTTCACTGCTGCAGAAATTGCAGGAGGCCATAAAAACCAAGAGACGTGGCATGCTCACCAAAGGTGTCCGCCTTCTGAAAGACAATGCACCAGTTCACCACTCACATGTTGCACAAATAGAAGCATGCTCCTGTGGCTTTGAAATTCTACAGAATCCCCTTTTTTCACCTGACCTCGCACTATTGGACTTCCACCTCTTTCCAACAATGAAGTTACTTTTGAAGGGCAAGCATTTTTCAGATGATGAGACTCTGATTTCCGAAGTCACAATGTGGCTTCTGGAGCAACCTGTCGACTTCTACAACTGAAGTGGTTACAGTTACTTAAAAAGATGGGAGAAGTGTTTGTCCCTAGGTAGCACCTATGTAGAGAAGGATTAATAACTGTGCCAAGTTTCGTTGCTCTCAGTCCATAGGAAGTGGATTGGGGGAATTCTTTAATCAATGCCCCGTATAGCAGGGAGATTCAAATGCCTAGAATCTAAATCATTTACTTTCAGTATGTGTGTAAGTGCCTTCATGTATCCTGTCAACTTATGGTGACCCTATAAATGTCATAGGGCTTTCTTAAGCAAGGGACATTCCCTTCAATAGCTCATAGTTAAAAAAAACATGTGCAAGGAAATACAAGCTCTGTTGTCCTTCAATCAAAAATGATTTTCATTTTGGCATTTCTCAAATATTTAACTTATATTAAGTGTTCAAAATGATTTACAAGTAGGATAGCATTAACTGACCCTGGTAAAACTAAAATTGCATGATGAGTAGCATTTATGCTTATCACATCTCTGCATTGATCGTTGGAAATGGTGTAACACCCTACCTTTCCAGTTTGCATTCATAACTCATAATTTCATGTCTCCAGCTTAATTGCCTGCTTTCAAAGAGACATCTTAACACCTGTAATTCTCCACCCAGTCTTCTTTTAGGAAATCTTGCTTATGTTTTCCCAAGTTTCAAGTAGTTTCAAACTAAATTAGCTCAACATTTACAGCCTTGCTTTTGTCTAAATCTATTGGTCTAGCTCTATAGATATAGATAAAAACACAGACTCCGGAAGTGCAGCACCTTAGGCACGGCGGTGAAGACCTGCCTCCCTGGTCTGCTGCTGCCTGCATGGCTCCTGGGGCTCTGCGGAGGCCAGGGAGGCAGGCAGGCTTACTTGGGAGGGGCCAGGCAGCAGGTAAGAAAATATATAAAATAATGTGTAAATATTAAAATTAATATGGCGTCCCTACTTCTTGGATTTTCACTTATCGCGGATGGCCCTGGAACACTGTACTGAAAAAAAAGTCAAGGAAGAAAGTGCAAAGGCAAGGTTGCAGTTAAGAAAACATAAATAATGACCATAGATGATACATAACGTTAAAGTAGATAATGAAGGTATTTGAATAGTTCAAGAGTGTCTGTATATGGCTCAGTCATTAATCAAAATGGATACTGCAGCCATTATATCAGAAGAGGACTAGGACTTAGAAGGGCAGCTATGAAGGAACTAAACAGAAGTATGAGTATATATTATTGAATACTAAAGAATTGTCCATGCCATTGTATTTTCAATTTCTATGTATGGTTATGAAAGCTAGACAGTGAAAAAAGGCTGATATGACAAAAAATAAACATTGAAATGTGGTGCTTTTGAAGAGTTCTATAGATACTGTGAATTGCTGAAAAGACAAATAAATTCATCCTACACCAAATCAAACCTGAACTTTCCTCAGAGGTCAGGGTAAATTGAGACTGTCAGACTTTGGGCATATCATGAGAAGAAATGATCACCAGAAAAGACAATGGTGCTTGAAAGAAAGAGGAAGATTGCATTAGAGATTGATAGATAGCCCCAAGTCTGCAAGATCTGAGCAGAGCTGCTGATGACAGGTAGACTTCAAGGTTGTTCACTCTCAGGGTCACCATAAGTTGAAATGGACTTGACCAGTTTGCTACAACAAAAAATTAATATGTTTTCACTTTGCTCAAATTATCTATCAATGCAATCTGGAAATATGTGAAATGAATTATTTTGTAGGCTACCCTCAGTTCCTCTGATGAACAGTGGGGTTGAAGTACTTTAATATAGACAGAAGCAACTCCATGTGTATCAACCTCATGTACATATTATGTAGTATACCTTTTGCAGCAGGCATACTATCATAGATATTTACAGTATAAGTTGATTATTGTGGTTTAAATTAAACTATGAAATCACTTTTAAAGTGTTGATTAACCACATCTTTGTGGAAAAACTAGCCATTCTTAACTGGAACCTGTACTTTGAATAAGTCACAAAAATCTTGACACAACAATGTGATTGCTTTAAATAACCCATAGCTTTAGGAACACTTTCCTGATCCCCAACTACCCAAGGCTGACAAAAGGACACACATTCTGGACATTGAAAGTTTGTTTCTGCACTCTGAACTAGTACTAGTTTAATTATGAAGATGGATTTTGACATGCATTATATCCTACCCATTTTCATTTCAACCAAATTGAGTTGGTTCATCTTCATCAGAACTGAGATAATTTTGTTGAATCCACAGGGAAGTGACTATTAAAACCCCTTTAATCTTTCAATATTTTTGCTTGAGTGGAGTGCTCATGCCACCTACTCTCCCCAAGCATCATTTTGTTTTTTTGTTTTTTTCTAAAGGTAGAATAATGCTCCCCAAACTGTAAAGATCACACAACACCCACATATTATGAGGCCTGAAAAAAATGAACAACCTTCAGGAATGGACTGGGATATTTTACTATAGACTGGGGCAAGCTATCTTCATGGCTGCCCTGACTAGTACTGCTTAGACAATTGTTCTAATTAGGAGTGTGTTTTGTCAAATTTAGCCCCCTACTGTTTGAAGGTTAATACAATTGGCTTTAATCTTCAGAGTAAAAAGACTTTCTAAAAATTAATTGGCAAATGTAATTATGGACGTTACAGAATGAATCTAATAAGTCTATCTACCTCTGGGACAATTTCTTTTTCAAAAATGCTGAATCCACTTCTAATGAAGTCAACAATAATTTCTCTCTGCTAAAAACTTATTATTCCATGTTTCAAAGTACAATGGCAATTTTGAAACTTTTTTAAAAAATCAGTATCATTAGCAAAAAAATTATTTCCCTGAAACGTATTATCTTGTCTCAAGAGGATCATGAAAAATGATGTTGAAGAGGACTTGAGCTTACTCTATTGCTTTTCAGGATGAAAACTTTTTAACCGTATTTCAATGTACCTCGTTTCTTTTACCATGGTGAGAGGTTACATGTGTGTGATTTGAGAGATAAGCCCAAGTGTAAAATCACCCAATATGCACTATGAAGACAATGCATCTTAGAAATCTGAAATGTATGGATAGCAACAACTCCAGAAGAACTGAATTCCTATTAGAACAGGAACTTTTACAAGTAGAACACAATGGGTATGTAGTACAATTTCTGTGCAAGATGAACAGATTTCATTGCATAAGACTGGCTCCTGGAAAAACTGTATAGTAAAGTAATTATCATGTAAGTTGTCCAGATCTCTAGAAGTGAAGTGAAGGGAGTGGGAACACACCTGACTTCATTGCGAAGAGGAAACATGGAAAGCTGAACTAAGAATGTTTGAAAAGAAAGATCGTCCTGATCCCAAATGTATATATAAGATTTACCCTGAAAGCACTACACATGTGATTTCAGGGTAAATCTTACCCAGTTTCATGTCCCGGCTTTCGTTCGGGGTCCAGATCCATTTTTGTATGCCTCCAGAAATCAGGATGGTACTTTTCAGTTAGGGGAAACCAAAATCCAGACAATTATGGGGGGGGGCTTTCCTCCACACTGCCCCCCCCCACCCACTGGCTCCCATTCCCAGCATGAAGTCTTACCTGGCACCTGTTGTTTCTACTCCAGAGTAAAAGGCGCTCAGCTGTAGGCACTGGCAGGCACACACAGTTTCCTGGCCTGTCTGTGTGCCCCGTCACACATGTATTCTCCTCGGGGCACCGAAAATTGGACTATTATGGCGGGGGGGGGGGGGCTTCCCACCCACTGGTTCCCTTTACCAGCATGAGTTCTTCTTACCTGGCACCTGCTGTTTCTACTCCAGAGTAAGAGGCACTCAGCTGTAGGCACTGGAAGGTGCACAGTTTCTGGGCCTACCTGTACGCCTCTTATTATAAAGTAGAAACAGCGAGTTCCAGGTAAGAAGAACACATGCCCTGCCACACTCTCCGATAGTGCATGTGTGGAAGGGCGTGCAGGAAGGCCCAGAAAATGACTACAAGCCAAGCTCTGGACCTGCCTACATGCCCGCCACACATGCACTTTCTTTCCAAGGCAAGGAGGCAAGTTCAGATGCACACAAAAGAAGACTTTCCTGTTGAGCAGATTTTCATGTGAGGAGGGGGCTTCCCATTTCGTGCTTCCAAAGAAATGGAAGACACAAAAGAAATGGTAGAAATTCTGCGTACAACTCTAACAGACACTTGTTTTCAGAATACAATGTTTTTTCAACATTGTCAGGGAACACAAACCCTCACCTTTCATTCTCCTCCTTTATTGTGCCTGAGAATATGATTGCCTCATTTGGGAGACAGATTTTGTCTGAAATGTGGGATGAACACATAGCAAAATAAATTATGAAACACTAAATCAGGATACAGCAGGAAGGAATGTGGACAAAGTCCAAATATAGCAGAGAAAAGATAAGATGAAGTTAAGAAAGACTGAGAAAGAAACACTGTTTTAAAAGTAGTTTCCGATTTAAAGAATAAAGGTAGCTGCTTCCCTACAGCAATCATCATCACTGACCTAATTGGAGCTTAATTAAATTTGGCAAAATGCCTATCTCTGTAATTGGTGGAGCACCAGAAGGAATATAACTAGCATATGGCCACAGTGCATTCAATATGATTAGGTCATTCATCTTACATTCATATTGAAAAATAGAGGAAAACACAAGTTTTACATTAAAACCGAGAGATCTGAAGCAGAACGAGAAAAGAAGCTGATGAGAGATTATCAGATTAAACTTCTAAATAAATGCTCATGTTTTATTTAAAGGTGTCTGATCTTTGACTGGCACATTATAATCCTAACTAATGTTAAAATAATTAGACCCAAAAGACTACCTAAACATCATACTTTGATACATCTCCAATAACTAAGATTCATTTAATCCAAAAGTATTATTTTTGTACATCAATTAATCCTCCGCAGAGAAAGCAAATTAGAGTTTAATAATGTCCACAATTCATTTTTAAATAACTGCACCTTTTTTTTCTTTTTGTAAAACCCTATGGTTTGGCTACTTAAAATTGGGCTACTTATTTGGCTACTTAAAAAATTAACTTTAACATATGTAACATCTATCAAAATAAAATGGGAAAAGCCTACTTAAATGAAGCTTAATGAAAGGGTTCCATGCTGCTGTTTGCAAGTTCTGCATAACTATGATAAGATGATAATGCACCACATAAAACCATTTGTGTTTTGCTGGAGAAAGGACTATGGTCCCACACAACCATATAACCCAGAATATCAAGGCAGAATAATCCACAATATCTGCTTTGAACTGGAATATCTGAGTCCACACTGCCATATATCCCGGTTCAAAACAGATAATGTGAGATTTTATTCAGATGTGTGGAAAGAGCCCAAGACATAAAACAATGAAGGTTTTTTTTCTTTGAGGGAGCAGGATAAAATGTTTTAAGAAACTTACCGGGCAAAAGTAAGTATTTTCTACGATGTAATTTGCAACCACACTGTTTTCTGCAGAAAGTGACATGATAAAAAGCAATGCATCACGAGCCTGCTGGCCAACAGTCCCATCTCGATGGATGAAAGGAATCAGGAGTGAAAAAATCAGGAAGTTTGCAGCTCCTTGGTCCTCGCTGGTGTGGAAGAAGAGTTCCAAGATAGATGGATCTTTGGCTAGGATTGAGCAGAGCTGGTTGAGAAGAACGACCAAGTCCATCTCTACAGCTGGGGTTGTGGTTCCTGAGCAAGAACTCAACAACATCATTAAAGGTTTCAGGATGGGTTTGTGATGCAGCAAGGGCTGGTGGGACTGTGTGACAAGCATTTCGTACATCTTCAGTTGTTCTATTTTCATTTCATCAGTGAATTCCCGCCTCAAACTCCAAAGAAAGAGTTTCTCCATGATATTCTCGGTGACCACAAACTCCAGGATAGGGCCCATTGCGGCATCTTTGGCTTGTTCTTCAATTAAAAGGAAGAGCATGTGCTCCACATAATTCTGCACAGTACTGGCTTCATCAGGAGGTATTACCCCATATTTGGCCTGAACATTTTTCAAAGGGTCATGCTTCTCTAAGATTTTTACAACCTACAAAAAATGGAATTACTTTTGATGATCTGTGTACAGAGATTTATCACAATATTAATAGGTTTGTTATTAAACAAACTCAGTCATCAATATTTACATATTAAACCATGTTTCATTTCACTGTAAATTTACCAGCTGAATTTAATTGCAGCAAAATGTGTCTCACTGCACTGAACACAGAGACAGACAGTTGAATCAAACAAGGTAACAGTGCAATCTGCTTATGAACAACTGTTTGCATGGTTAGGAAAGTTATTTTATGCTTTTTATGAAACACCTGATGCTGACCAAAGGTCTGCATTCATTGCCACATATTTTAAATATATCTTCCTGATTTAATGAAGTAAATATATACATTTTAATATAATACATTCTAATATAATATAAATATAAACCAAGCAATTGGTTTAATGTTTACAAAGTATAAAGTCGAGTTTGTGATAGACCTATGGTATGTTTTAACCAGATGATAGATTATTTAGAATTGATATTTATAGGTTTTATGTGTTTTACTATTATTGTTTGAATTTGGCATTTAATTACTGCCATAGTTTGTAAGCTGCCCTGAGTCCCCCTTCAAGGGTGAGAAGGGTGGGATATAAGCACAGTAAATAAATAATAATTAAAATTTCTTTGTCTGAGGCAGAACAAAAGGTGTTCTTCCTCCCTCTCTAATCAGAACATGATGCATGGAAATAAAAAAGAAATCAAGTTATTTTGGCACTTGAGTTATATGCTCATTTTTCCCACCAGCCAGTAAGTAAAAATATAACCACCATCACAACCATGATTACTACTATTTTCAACTTAATCACGACCGTGAAGATGCCATTTCCATCTGTCTAACTGTAGGCTTAGTCTTGTGCCCTGTACTTACATACTTTTCCAAACCGAAACTTTGCAAGAATGACCCATTGTTGCAATTCTTTGAAAGTTATCAAGTTAATTACAAAGTAAATTGGTTTTGTTGTCAAACTGAAACTCAAATGCAAAACGCAAAAACTGAAAACATTCCTCCAGCTCAACTTTTGGGAGAAACAGGTGGTTAGACTTAGAATTCAGTGATAGGTTGTACAACTTGTTCTACAATAAGCCCTCCAAATTTATGGGTTTAAGCTTTGTGGATGTGATTGATTTCCTCCACCACTGCTCTGCACCATTTTTGAAAGGGACTTCAATAACACCAGCATCTATTCGCAGCTGTGTTCAGTTATGTCAAGCTTTGTTACTGAGGAAATCTTTGGTTACAAGGAAGTAGTTAAACTGATAGGGTATCTGGGTCTGGCCACACTGAGAAACGGGACAGGGGCAGACAGAGAGAGCAAGATGGGGAGAGGGAAGGAGGAAAGAGCTGGGGTGTTTGGGTGATATATCCTTGGCAGGTCCGGGCTTAATAGGGACTTCAAGGCCAGCTGTAGAATCAATTTATCATGTCTAAACTGGAAGTCTAGGTAGAGACATGAGACCACTAGCCTGTAGATGTTTTGTCAATCTGTGTAGATAATACTTGATTTAAATGCCATGATCTTTAAAATATGAAGTCTATATTACAGAGCATATGTTGCTTAATGGGTTTTAAACAACCTGATCATGAACAGAATTGCATCCAATGCTGAAACAACTGAGCTGTCTTCTTAAATTTCACAGTGCTTCAAAACACAATAATTATATATTCCAACCTGTATTTCATTTGCAATGGAAATTAGATTACTTTATTCAGTTTCGACTCTATCCAATAGTTACACCTCTATCACTGTAAGCTAAATAACAGAGATCAGGATTCCACAGTTCACCAGAACAAGATAAACATTAAGTATCACCAACCAGACATAATATGGGAATATTCTTCATTTTGGAAATGCACCTGATGTCCAAATCTTTTTTAGAAAATGTATTCTTGCCAACTTTAAATATAAATATGAGAATAAAAGATTTAATGAGTAGTTACCTGTGCCCAATGGGTTTTAAAAACTATCATGCAGGTCTCTGGGTCAACTCCTTCGAGGCTCACAGCCTGATGGTTTTTCTTGCAACTTGTGGCTGTGGACATCATCAACTCTCCAAAAATCAATTCAACTAGGCCATGTTAAATTCCGTATGTGGCTAGTGTAGTCAATCACTGCATTACGAGTGTCAGGTATGAAAAGACATTTTTAATCTGAAAGAAAAAAAACAAACTCAGACAAATATGCACAAAAGTTTAAAAAAAACAAATAATAAAATGAAATATTTTCTGTTTCAAAATAATAATAATAATAATAATAATAATAATAATAATAATAACTTTATTTTTGTACCCCGCCACCATCTCTCTGAAGGGACTCAGGGCAACTTACATGTGGAGCAAAACATCCATAAAACATAAAAAGCAAAACAATCCATAATATATTTTTTGTCATGTCATGTCAGGAGCAATTTGAGAAACTGCAAGTCGCTTCTGCTGTGAGAGAATTGGCCATCTGCAAGGACGTTGCCCAGGGGATGCCCAGATGTTTTGATGTTTTATCATCCTTTTGAGAGGCTTCTCTTATGTCCCCACATGAGGAGCTGGAGCTGATAGAGGGAGCTCATCCACGCTCTCCCCGGATTCGAACCTGCAACCAGCTGGCACAGGGGTTTGACCCACTGTGACACCGGGGGCTCCACCCATAAAATAGAACACATTAAAATAGAAGCATCATCAAATACAACAACCAAGATAAAACACACTAAACATAACAGAATAAAACAGAGTGCATTAGAGCTGTTATCAGACCACGTTCAACATAAGCTATTTCTGAGATGGGCATGACCATGCTATATAAGGGCTGGGCAAGGGATAGTGCAAATAGCATACCATATGGCTGGGATAGTGGATGAAGTGCAAAACAGAGTACTATCTAGCAACCTAAGGACTGGGCATATATAATTGGGACTAATCATTCTTGAAAGCTAGCTGAAACAAACAGGTTTTCAAATCCCTGTGAAAAGAGGACAGAGTGGGGGCTTGCCTAATGTTTCTTGGGGGGAGGTTTTCCAAAGTCAAGAGGCCACCACCAAGAATATCCTCTCCCTCATCCCCACGAGTCATGCTTGTGACAGTGGTGGAAGCAAGAGAAGGGCCTCCATGGCAGATCTTAAGAGCCTGTGCCGGTTCATAGCGGGAGATGCAATCACGAAGATAAGAGGGGCCCAAACCATGTAGATCATAACCTGCACCTTGAATTGTGACTGAAAACTTATCGGCAGCCAATGGAGCTGCTTCAATAGGGGTGTTGTGCGCTCCCTATAATTCGCTCCAGTTAGAAGCGTGGCTGGACTTTAGTACCAGTTGCAGTTTACGGGCTGTCTTCAAAGGCAGCCCCACATAGCGTGCATTGCGGTAATGGAAATGCTGATTTCACATTCAGTCAGCCCTCTGTAGTCACAGATTCTGTATCTACAATTCAACCACCCATGGCTTGAAAATATTTTTTTTAATTCATAAACTAATTTTTTTATTTATTTTTCATTGTATATAATGGATACCATTTCACTACACCATTGAATATCATGGGACTTGAACACGCACAGACAATCATATCCACAGAGGTCCTGGATTTCAAATCCAATGGATAATGAGTTCTACTATACAATGATAACTATTCATATTTCAACTGAACACTCCACAAGAATGACTATTCATATTTCCACAACACTCCCCTGAATTCCATGCAATTCCAATATGTTGCCTTTCACTATCTATGTATTGTTAAACTAATCCCCAAGTTTGCCACAGTGGTCACTCCTTGATCTATGCTCTCCTTACAGCACATTATAATTGAGGAGATATTACCAAAAAAAAAAAAAAGATACTGTTCTTTTTTAAGTGAATTGTAAGATGAAGCATAGATGGAATAGAGTTATGCTCTTGGCTCAAAGAGAGAAGCTTTTTTGATAAGTCTTTGTGTGTGATACGGATTGTAAGAACATAAAAGGGAATAATAACTAAATTTAGTATACATGAAATGCATTGTCCCTTTCCCTTTATTTTCTTTGGTTACTAAGCAATACAACAATTGAATACACCGGCAAAGTTGAAAGCTTTTTAAAATACCTGACACAAAACAGCTATTCATTCAGAAACACTTGACTTTTCTTGTTAATAAGAACAAACTGTGTGAAATTACAGTACGTTAAACTCGGGGTGCAAGCATCACAGCTCTTTACCAATGCCACTATAAAAAATGAAAAGAATGCCTATATTTAAACAAAGTACAATTTTGTTCTGATAAATCTCGCAGCACATGCAAACAACATGCTGGGCTCGAAGGCAATGGCTGCAGTGCAGTCTTCATACTCACATAGCTCTTTCCTCTCCCCACTTCTTCGCTGCGTAAGCTGCTTTCACTCCATCCTCACTGCCATTCCAGAGAGTCCTGAAATACAATATGGGATTCATAAGGAAAAACAAAGCAGCAAAATGTTTTGAGTGCATTCAGGTTTTTTATTAATCTTTATTAGGGATTATTAGGGATTCTGGAGAGAAGGGGGAAGGGTATATTTTGTTATACATAAAAAGTGGAGGAACAATATGTCAGAGGGAAAGTAGGAAACTGAGGAAGCAGGAAAAGAATAGAGAAAAAATAAAGAATAAATTAGAAGAATACAAAAAAGAATACAAGATGGAGGAGTCCAGCAAAGAAATATCTGGGGAAATGGAACAAACCAACTGAGGTAGTGTTTAAAGCTTCACCCAAAAAACTAATACAGAGGAAGGTCTCTACACTATTGGGAAGGCCTATAAACAGGGGGAACTGAAGCAAAGGAGAAGGCACAACCAAGACTTGGCATTAAAGAACAGTTTCATCAAATCATCAGCATCTAAAAATTCACTTTGTTCTATGTACTATTATTAAGTCAAATGTATATACAGCAGTCTTGCTATTTATTTATTTTTTATCGTGTCAGGGGCAACCAGACCATTGTATTATATTTCTAACAGAACAAAACAAACAAACAGACAAAACACAAAGTTTGCAAGCTTGGTAGTTGATTAATGTCCTTTGACCAGTATCTGGCCACTTGGAGTGCCTCTGGTGTTGCCGCAAGAAGGTCCTCCATTGTGCATGTGGCAGGGCTCAGGTTGCATTGCAGTAGTTGGTCTGTGGTTTGCTCTTCTCCACACTCGCATGTCGTGGATTCCACTTTGTAGCCCCATTTCTTAAGGTTGGCTCTGCATCTTGTGGTGCCAGAGCGCAGTCTGTTCAGCGCCTTCCAAGTCACCCAGTTTTTTGTGTGCCCAGGGGAGAGTCTCTCATTGGTATCAGCCATTGGTTGAGGTTCCGGGTTTAAGCCTGCCACTTTTGGACTCTCGCTTGCTGAGGTGTTGCTGAGTCTTGCTTATCCAACATAAACGGGCCAGCAGAATGTTGGATAAGCAAGACTCTACTGAACCTTCCCAAAAGAGATTAGATTAGCCCCCACCCTTCAATTCTTCCGGTCCAACCTGAAAACATGGATGTCCAGACAGGCCTTTTACCTTGAGTAGGCTAAATGCGCCCAAATGAAGCTGACACTTGACTGCTGTGAATTGACAGCAGTTAGTTTTATTTACTGTTGTTTTAAATTTTGATTTTATGTTAACATGTGTTGACAGGGGGTTGTTGTTATAATTTTATATAACTTGCTTTATACTTTTGTATTGTTTTTACCGGTTGTATGTTATATGTGCAACTTGGAGTGCTTTGTAAGCCACTCTGAGTCCCTTCGGGGAGATGGTAGCGGGATATAAATAAAGTATTATTAATTATTATTATTATTATTATTATTATAAGTGAATGTTTGATAATAAGGAGGGATTAAGGAAAAGCCTATTAAGTGTCAAATTACGTTATGATTTCACAAATTTAGCACAAAAACATCATGCTTTACAATAAATTGACAGGAAAAGCAGTTCAATACATGGTAAGATTGTGTGGTAATTATCCTATTTACGAATTTACACCAAAACATTGCAATGTATTGAAACAGCTGTGGATCCTGGCGGGAGGCAGACTGCGTTGGATGAGTGAAGGTTGGATAAGCGAGGCTCTATTGTATTCCTGTACATGTTTGGGATATACTTTGACCACATTTGCAAATGACTGTAATAATACAAATGCATCACGAATAGAGAACCATTGAAAGTAGTCTATGGATGCTGCTGCAAGACACATTTAAGAAGATATACCATAGTAGTATATAATTTATATTACACCCATTATAGCATTCAAAATGTTATACAATGTCCAATAAAATCAGTTCAATCTACAATAGTTGTAAACATTCCAGGCAAATACAAATAACACGCTAGAGATTCTATTTTTAATATAGTAGACCTACTGCAGTCTCAGAATTAAAAAAGGTGATAACACTTGTTTTAAATGTATGCATGAACATTTTTATACTCCTAAATGTTAGATTAAGAAAATTTCATTTGTTGAGGTTTAAAAAGCTTGTACTGCGTGCATTCTAGGGTACTCTCTGACTATGACAAGAATTTGAATCTATTGCGGGGTATAAAAAATCACCACATACAAAGCAGTTTCTTCAGAAGCTATTGGGTTTCACTCAACTACCTAGAGTCAAATAAATGCAAAATAAAAGCCAAGAAGAGAAGCTATCTACAGAGGCATTCTCACTCTCACAGGCTGTAAGGAAGGCAATGCAAACTCCTCTGAATCAAACTTGCAAAAGCCCCTCTATGATAAGGTTGTCATATATTGTTACAAAATGAAAGCAATCACTATGTGTGTGTCAACTGCAAAATAAAGTGTAATGTATGGGGTAATGGCTGAACCTAGAAGTTTTAGATATTGTTGCAATTTCATTCAGGCTCAAGTGTACAGTTCCTCAAAGACAAATTGAACCACCAAAACTGGCCTTTACAGGCCAATGGATACTCCACCACAAACATCAGAAGAGCTGCAAGACGGAGAACAAGCCACAAGCCAAAGATCCAACCAGAGGAAAAGTGTTCTTGTACACATCAAGGGAAAAATTGACCACATAGGGAAGCTGATGAGGAAACACAACCTACAAACTATCTACAGACCCACTAAGTAAATCCAAAAATTGCTACATTCAGCAAAGGACAAGAGAGATCCTCTCACCTCTGCAGGAGTCTACCCTATATCATGCAGCTGTGGACAAGGCTACATACTAGGGACCACCAAATGCAGCATTGCCCAAACACGAAAGGCACTGCAGACTACTTCAAACAGAGAAGTCAGTCATAGCAGAGCACCTGGACATGAATCAACCTGGACACAGCATATTATTTGAGAACATAGAAATGCTCAACAACTCTAACTACTGCCATGTCAGGCTATTCAGAAAAGCCACTGAAATCCATAAGCATAATTTCAACAGAAAGGAAGAAACCATGAAAATGAACAAAATCTGGCTACCAGTATTTTAAAAAAACTCTAAAATTATAACAGTAAATAAAGAACAACACTCAAACATAGGGGAACTCCAGACAAAAAACAAACAGGGACAACTAATCACCTCTCAACAAAGGATTCCCCCAAACAGTAACAAGCCACACTTAAAAACTGTCTGGCTATCAAATGCTAATCAAGGTGACCACGTGAAACATTCACACCAAGCTCCAACAGACAAGAGTTCTTTCTCCCACTCTGGACTCTCCGCAGATACATAAACCCAATTTTTCTAGTTTCCAACTGCCCTCACAACCTCTGAGGATGCCTGCCATAGTTTCAGGTGAACTGTCACGAAAGAATGCTTCTAGAATATGGCCATACAGCCCGAAAAACCTACAACCCAGTGATTCCAGCCATGAAAGCCTTCGACAATACAAAGACTGATTTGATTCTTGGCTGCTGAAAAGAAGGTCTCTCATATGGACAATGAAATATCATTTTGAATCTCTCTAAAAGGACATGTAGTGAATTGATGAAACTGATCATATTGTACATATGTTTTTCTGAATTAAGAAGAGTAAACGGCTTGTTCTTTACTATTCTACTGCATGGCATATTTTCTTTACCAGGCAAGGCAGTGTGTGGGCTGATCCAACGTCAACTACACATGGTTTATTTTACATATATCACAGTCCACCTAAAAGCACAAAACAACAATGGCCATCAGAAAAAAATAGAACAAAACAAAAGAAAACATGCACTTTTGTATCACAGGTATCCTGAACCCAATGAATATCAATGTCTCATATGAAAAAAAGTTAATTTCTTTTAAATTGGGCCAACAAGATTATTTTGGTCCCAATGTAAGACACAAGATGGGACAGAAAATCTTCTGTAGCTAAAAAGCTAAATTTCTTTGAATATTTTTGTCCCTGAAGTTCTTTGACTATGGGGTGGTGGAAGGGTTAAATTTATTAGACCAATTTCTGAAGTTTTGATACATTTAGATATAATTAGGCAACTACCAATTGTAGACGCTAACTTCTGGTCCCAACTAGGGTAAACCAACTAAATTAATGAGATTTTAATGCATGCTGATTTGCTAGCCAACAACAGATTGAATGGGACTACTCTGCCTGGAACTAGCCACTGTATTTAGTCTAATGTTGGGAAATGGCTACAGTGTAAATCTCTTTTTGTACATATTCAACAACAAAAGATGCCTTGAGGACACTAAAATGTCCTCTCCTCGTTCATGAGGGTTAATGGAAATGCACAAGGGATGTGTCTTGTTATATAAGTGCTATATATTAAGAACCCTATTTCACACATAGCTCTTGATAATCTCTCTTGAAAGCAGTCCATCTTAATTATACTGTAGCTTGACAAGAATGTCAATTAAAGCAGAATGTGCTGATTTAACAATTGTACTTGACATTATGAAGAACAAAGTAAAAAACCTCTGCAACTACAGAAAAGTTAATGTGCACTGCTTCACCTTCATAATAAACCCAATAATAACTTTTAGAGCAAATTTATTTCACCAGCCTGTGTTAACAGACAATAACATTTTATTGACACTCATTCTACCTCTACCTCTAATATATCAATATATTTTTATGTAAACCTTCCTTGAACTATACACTACAAGAGGAAGGTTTCATGTCTTCTATAGGCAGATCATTCCATTGTTGAATTCCTCTTCAAGTGGTTAAACCAAATCTATTGTTTACAGTAAACTGAAAATAAGCCATACATGTATTATTTATTCTGTACTTGAGGAAGAAGAGGAAATGAAAGGGAAACAAATGTGGCTTTCCATGGGACAACCCAGCACAAGCAAAATGCCTTGGTCTTCTTTCACAAGAACAAGCTGACATTGTAGAGACTACATGTTGTATTTTGTTCCTTATGCATTTTAAGGCAGTGGTTCTCAACCTTCCTAACGCCACAACCCCTTAATACAGTTCCTCAGGTTGTGGTGACCCCCAACCATAAAACTTCATAACTGT